CGATGGATAAAGCACAGATCTGACGATCGCAAGGTTCATGTGTCGAGTCCAGCCTGAAGCCTATTTTTATTTTTTGTCATGTTTATACCTTCCAATGATGAAGTTATTTTTACCCATCCTCACTAACACACTCCACATTTTTCGGTTTCCACAACCAACACTTGTGACCCGCTGGTTGGGTGTAGCGATAGCGAGTGTGGCAGTTCTAACGAAACTAGCTTCATACAATGTACAAATCCATTTCGTTGCAGAAAACAACTAATAAATTCGTAGAACAAACGAGTGATTTCGTTGAATAAACGAAATTTTATTTTCAGTGTATGTTTGTTTTGATTCGCTATGAAAGTTTGACAGATAAAATGAGGGGTTCGCGGATTTTCCTATGTTTCGAGGGGTGCATCGCTTAGCTTGGGACCGAAGATAGTACCAGAACTGAGCCAAAAAGTTGAGCACGTTTCTTCGGGACCTTCTAGTCTTAGAGCTACCTCTATGGTTCTACGGTATTTGTATGTATGCTTGTTTCAAGGGCAGGGTGGACTTCCTGTTGATAAACAAGTAGGTGATGACCCGGGGTAAAAAAGCCATCTTTTTTTTCCCTTGATTTATTTTCCGTCGATCTTGTTTTCCGTGCTGAGCACTAATGCTACCGACGCCAGTGAGGCAGCTCACACACCTGGACCCTACCTATCGATCCATCAACTTATGAACCGGGACCAAAGGCTTTACTTCCCTTCCGAAGGAAGGCGTGATCGGAGAAGTTATGCCTCAGAACATGCCGGCGGCGCTGACTGGGATTGCACCCAGGCCTGCTATGGTGAGAGATAATCACGCTTACCACTACACCACCGGCACCGCTAGCACAGCCATCCTTTGGATTATTGAAACAATAAACTCTTGAAAAAAAAATGCTGTAGAGTTCTTTGTTATAGTACAGTCATTAGTGTAAAACACATTTTAGCTTGATAACAGATGAAACGTGAAAATCAACAAAAACACCAAACATTCCCAAGTAACAATCTAAATGCTTGGAAGATTTATTCTTATTTTATCATTGTTTTATCATAGCATCCCTTGCAGCCTGTTGTATTACGGTTTTGTGTGCTTGTCATAAAATCAGGCCTTCAAGTCGAATATAAAACTTTTTTATGACTACTAAATTAAAACTCAGACTTCATAGTTTTAATAGTAGCTGTAAGGTGGCTCTATATCACTGCTTATAACTGCAGAATAAAACCAAAACAAAACATACAATTATGTTTTATGGCATACTTTTTATGACCGATATAAAACTTGAAGCAGTCTTAGACCTTCATCAAATCCTCATTACAACCATCATCTTTATCAGAGGCCTAAGATTTACAGATAAGAAATATACTACAACAATAACAAAAAAAGCTCTGAAAATTGTTACCAATATAAAAAAAAACAAATCTATTGAGATACATGAAATGAAAACCCCTTCAGTGTTTTTAAACACGATGAAAATGAGAATATCGCCATTATGAAACTCCTGGAGTATCTACAGTTATGGGCTCCCTTATTCAACATAAGGCAGAGTGTGGTGAATGAGCTTTTAAAAATATTGAATAAGCGGCTTTCCGATACACTTCCGACAGATCCACGAACCCTTCTTAAAACAACGCAGACAGTTTCACTAAATCCGGTTGGAGATGGTCAGTATTTGCATCACGGCTTCACACCTTGTATTGTAAAAGCTTTTAAAAGATCCAATAAGCATTTCTTACATCTTGATTACAAGAGAAAATAGGAGGATCGCTTGGAATGTTGACTCTTTGACAGGTTGCCATGGTTTTTGTTTTGTTTTGATTTGCTGTACCGAATAAAACCAGTAAGCTATTATAGAGCTTAGATATAACTTAACGTTCTCAATTCGGACTACGAAATGCTAAGATACAACCATTAGGTTTATGTTATGCTATAGAATTCCAATCTAGGAGAATATGTTATATTGAGGTATTTTTAAGGAGTAGCAAGTTATAACGAAAAAAATGTCGCCGTATGAACAAATTTAACACAGTATGAATAATTACGCTTTAATTGATAGGCGATAAAACACTTTCACACATCTATGTATAATTAAATAATAAATGACTGGTTATTGCTCAACAGTAGTAACAGTTTTGTACTAAATAGATAATCTTTTAATGACTCTTTAATGCATGGTGCAAATGCAGACAAATTAAAAATATCCCTATTTTTTAGTATTCATATGGCGCACTGAATTTATGCTCCTATTTGGTATAATAATTACCACAAATATTGCACGGCATGCTGTGATTGGTTTAAAATTGTAATAAAGTCGTTTTATTTTCAATATACAATAATATCAGGTATTATTACCAACTGACAAGGATCATGATCATGATCATCAAACATCGAAAGAATAAAACCACAATAAAATATTTCTCAATATTAACTATCATCCAAAAACCCCAACTTAAAACCTTCAAGGTTGTCAAAATGTTTTGCGTATCATGTTTTATCAACTTCTTCAGGAGCGATTTATGCGGTTGTAATATAGTTTTATGGTAGTCATCAAAAGGTTGTTAAAACTTTCTGACCTGGACGAGGTTTTATGTTTGCATTTTTGACAACCACGTGTAGAGTGTGATAAAACTAACATAAAACCTCCTAAGGTAGTTCGCATATCAAGTTATAATGAATGCATTAAAACTGGGCCAATTGGCCATGACATGGCTGTATAGCGGTTCTCAGGAGGTTGTTAAAGTAATGTGGTCGTCAGTGAAGGTTTTATAATTTGGTTGTATCAACTGCTATAGAACTTCAATAAAACAAAAATTGTTGCTTGGGTTGTGTATTGTGGTGGCCTGCACTTGTTATTTTGTGTTTACGGAATTTAGTGTTTTAGAGCCGTTATGTATATCATTCATCCTGTAAAAGTAATGTTGCTTTTAGGAAAACACAAGTCTGTTCGATGTACTCACAGAGAAAACATATTTTTCTTTTAAATTATGAGGTAGGGGATGACGGGGTAAGACGGGCAACCTAAGCATATAGTAATATTTTACCAAAACTACGCTGAACATATTTTTGCTTTAATTTTCTTATGCTCGTTTTGTAAAAATTGGGTTTGGTATGGCCTGTCATCTGGCAAAATGCTAATATTACGCCTTATTTGTACAATCCACGAACTGAATTTCCCCAACTACTGCTCTTCTTCTAAGATGTCTGTTCATATTTGTTTTGCTTCTCTTTGCTGATATCACTACCTGTTCATATCAGTGCTATTTTTTGTCCAATTGTAGTTCTCTTTGCAGTTGTTGTAAGGCAATGAATGTAACTTACTGAGTTGGTATGGAGCTCAACCTATTTTCCAAATTTTTGCATATTAAAACTTCAATTAAACTTACAACAGCGATAATCCATACTATTTGGTGACCCTAAACTTTCGACCGATGACTTGAATAACTATTGTGTTGATTTTTAGCATATTCTTAAAATTTCAGCCAAACTTTCACAAACGTATATCGATAGGTGTAGAATAAGGGTTCTACTACCCCTTTAATTTCAAAATTTGACCGACCCAATTCGGAGAGAATCAGTTATGAATATTCAGTGCGAATTTAAGAAAATGTTAAAACTTCAGGAGAAGTTTTGGCATACAAAAATTGAAAATCATACGAACTAAATTTCAGTCAATACCTTACTAGGCAGACATATGAGCAACACACATTTACATGTTTTTCACATGGTGACCCCAATCGTATGATTGGGAGTGTATGCTTCGTTAGGCCTATACGACTACAAATACTTTTTTTTTCAAAATGAAGCACATCTGTTATTGTTCAAAAACCACCCAATCTCGCATCCAAGCCGGAAAATAGTAATCCGTACAGCTTAAGTGATTTCGCAATGAATCACGGCAATGAAGCCGGCATTATGGCCGGTGCGTCGTTGGCGGCTTATTGAATGGAACAAAATCTTTAACTCATCAATGAACTTAGAAGATGATGAACCACTCTGTGCGAAAATTTGAGCCAAGACTCGTCAGCTCACGTGTTTATTGGTTCTCCCTCCAACTGTTGATTGATTAATTATTATGCCGGCGCACATGCAGAAGGCAAAACGCTTGTAATGCATTATTGGTCCTACTCGCCATCGATTTATGAGCTTTTATTGAGGTGCTCATACCTTTTGTTTTATAACCATCCATTGAAATCATGTTCGCTTGTCATTAGATTCGGCCCTGAATTAAAAAAAAACTATTATAGCTCAATAATTCCCAAAACCTGAACCTATGATTTTGTCCCATGACCGTAGCTTCTACCCTTGAGGGATATATTTAGTCGTATTTCATGGTGAGATGTCCACCCACCTCGAACATGGTTTCCGTTCGTACCCAGTAGGGATCGGTGATAAATTATCCCGTTTTATACAAACTTGTTTCCCCTCTAATTTCTGAAACGGCTTATTTCTCACGTATCTACCCATGTTGCTATCTGCGCCATGTCTCATGCAATTGGCAATCAAATGCCATAAAAAAGGTCCTAGATACGGTACCTGACGCTGACAGTAACGTTGCCTTGTCATTTTTATTCTTTTTATAATTGTGTAGAAGGAAGAATTTCTCAAAATGCACCACTGTCGTCCAAATGTACCTGGCTTGAGTCAACCCCGCTGAACTTTGTAGCTTCACAGGTTCTGGATAAACACATTTTCCATCCCATACCGAAGGTCACAGGTAGAAACGGCAATCGTACGATGGTGAAGATTGACAATTAGGTATTTGGGACCTCGTTTTGTTTCGTTTTCATGCTTTCCACTCACGGTGCTATAGAAATTATACGCCTTGAACTCTGAAAGAGGGGTCCACCCTAGATGAATCGATTTCTCAAAAATCATCGATTCCCCGAATGACTTTTCACATTGTAATTATTTACAGACGCTTCGTATACTCATTTCCTGTGGGAATTCGCTTTTTAACACGTTGTTCTTATTGTTTTCCTCTCCAACTCCAGGTATCCTTCCGAACGTGGGTGATTCAATGAATGGAAGTAGCGGCAACAAGTAGGTACCATGACGATTCAGTCTAACCTGGACTCGCCTCAGCAGCACCACCGGGTCTTGGATCGCTACCATCAGCATCATGATCCGGCCTACAACATTACCAGTGCCGAGGCGGACGACTACAACAGCGATAATAGCATTGCGGTGCTGCAGCATCATCATCGCTACATGCCATCTAGTTCCAGCTCTTGTGATAACACCAAACACCATCCGATGCAGGGTTCCAGCGTGCCGGGATCCTGCGACGAGAATACACCTAGTGTGTTAGATATTAATTTAGATAGTAAAAAAATTGCCTTGTGAGTATTGCGTATTAGAAAACAAAGTGACAGTTAGTTCTGAACGATGACCGTTGTTTCAGATCCAATCCAAATAATTCGAGACTGAATTCTCCCGCTCGGTTCGAGAACGAGAGGAAATATACGAATCATATAGAGATCTACAGTGATAACACGAACAAACTGGAGGAGGAAATTTCTGAGGACGATCGGGGGCCACCGCTGCCGCCACGACCTGCCCCAAGAACCAGAACCCTGCAGCGAGCTGAAATTGGTGAGCATAAATATAATGTCCGCTCATTTTTCGTCTGTTGCGTTAAAAAATGGTAGGTAGGTGGGTTTGCTGATCTACAGATTTCTCCTCTTTTGAGAAATTGTTCTGAGTTCATGACAAAATATAAATTTTCTCAAAAAAAATAAAACGGAATCATTAATAAAGGGCTTTTTCTTTATAATTCACTGAAATAGTCAGTGCTTTAAAATTATTTTTCGTCATTTCTAAAGCCTTTTTTGCGTATTTTATTGAACATTTTTAGACGAATTTAAGTCATTTTGACTATTCATGGTTCTTTTGGCGCTTATGTGACAATTTTAGCGATTTTAATGTAAATTTGTTTTTTCAAGCCGAACTTAGGTCCTTAGCAGTGTTGGCAAAATCATCAATCAAATTATATTTTGCCGCTAGTGGAAAAACATATCATTTGATTGATTTTACAAGCTTCTTTGATATTGCGAGACTATTCACAGGGTGACCATTAAACTGGGAAATTGGGTGGAACCTGGAAAAACCCGGGAATTTTGATGAGAAATCGGGAAAAAATATATTTCGTCCTCTCTTCGAAAAGGATCAGATTATGGGCCTTGATAAAATTTAAAACCATTGCACAGTGCCCTAGCAGCACACATGTCACTGAACAATTGTTGTTACTTATGTGCCACTTATTCCAGTCACAATCAAGTTGCAGCAGCTTATTTCGATCGAAGTGTGCTGCTTGGGTGGGCAATTCTGACCCAAAACCGTACTTGACGTTTGAGACACCTATTTTTATGAATTAGAGATGAACTAGCCTAAGGCTAAAAATCTCTTAAATAAAGAAAAAAAAAAAAAAAAAAAAACCTATTTTTATGTAAAAAAAATGGTGGGGTTGTGTATAAGGCACGACCGCATGGTTGACGAAGACTACGTTAAGCGGTGTTGTGAAGCTCTCGTGCATTTTTCTAGATATTGATTTAAAATACAGTAGAAGCAACCTATGATTTCGGTCCCATGTACACGAAAACCAAAAATTTATTACAATAAATATTAGTTCCGTTTCCTATCATCCTCTGTTCATGAACATCACAGCGAATGTTAGAAGTTGACCTTGCAGACGATGTAGTGATTTTTAATCTTTTTTATTCCGTGCTCTGTATATGCTTTCACCTACACAAGCAAGCATTTGTCTTGATTTTTATGTATAACATGGTTGAACGACGTACACACTTGCCTCGATTCTCTCCAGCAGAAAAAGCAAACGAAGTCGAGTATGCGAGGGAATTCTTGTTTGCTTTCAGTCTATCGCTTCTTGTTTGCTTTTAGCCTATCCATATCCCGAAGCATGGAGAGAGCAGTGTAGAAAGCACAGGTCTGATAATTGCCACGTTCGTGGTTCCAGTCCCCCAGTCAGCACTTTTTTTTTATCGACATGATTAATTTCACTCACTACTATGTACACTGGAGCCGCTTTTTACGCGGTTTTTTTACACGGTTTTTTACGCGGTTTTTTTACGCGGATTTTGTAATTTACACGGTTTTTTTCACGCGGATTTCGGAATTCACGCGGTTTTTTTTTTTACGTGGATTTTTTTTCTACGTGGATTTCAGAATTTACGAGGTTTATCGTTATACACTAGAGTCGCTTTTTACGCGGTTTTTGCACGGTTTTTTACTTGGTTTTTTTACGCGGATTCCAGAATTTACGCGGTTTTTTTTACGTGGATTCCGGAATTTACGCGGTTTTTTTACGTGGATTTTGTTTTTTTTTACGCGAATATCAGAATTTACGAGGTTTATCGTTATACACTAGAGTCGCTTTTTACGCGGTTTTTTTTACACGGTTTTTTTACGCGGTTTTTTTTACGCGGATTTCGGAATTCACGCGGTTTTTTTTACGCGGATTCCGGAATTTACGCGGTTTTTTTGTACGTATCACCCGCGTAAAAAGCGACTCCAGTGTACACTCCACATTTTTCTTTATCCATTTTCTTACATTGGACCGCAGCTCGATATATTGCATCCTCGCCTCATGGGGTCTCCACTAACATCCTCTGATGATAAATCCCACATAATTGTAAGCGAATCTTACATCCCACGGTTGGGTGTACATATTTTGGATTTCCTACTTAGTAAAGCTTGGTTAAATTCAGGACCTCATAAAAATGCGATGCGAATACATATTCTGTTACATTCGTTTCCTTAATTACAATCAGATATTAGTAAGGCTTTCTTCAGGTGATTCATTGAAGCGTCCAACAATGACCGTCATGACAGCTGATATTCCCTATCACTTCAAGATTTCTAGGGCACAAATCTTGGACGGTTGTGACATCACTCATGAAATTGAAACTCCGTGTGTACTGCACTGCAGCAAACGTGAAGTTCCAGTTTCTTTGTTATAAGTTTTGTGAGAGGTGATATTTATGCTCTTGAATTTTTTATGTGGTAATGAAATTGTTCAGAAATAAGGTTTCCACAGCTATTCAACTTCAAAACGCTAAAAAAATGCACGCAAACAAATTTGGCACCAATGTTATGCAACATTTCGTACTTGATCGGGAATATCTCGATTAGCCATAAATCCCTTCACAACCTGTTACAGCACTACATTGAAAAAATTTCTGATAAGCTGAACATTGCATTAGGTCCTAAGCAAGGTTGCAAAGACTCATTTCAGCTAAAATAATGTTTTTCGGAATAATAAAACCAAAAGATGGTTTGATGGCATGTTTTACTTGTAACTTTCAAGAAGAGGTTACAAAGTATGCGTTGGAAACATAAAACCTGTAAATTTTGCTTTCTATGAGTCACAATCAGCGATTTGCTGATCGCTGAGTGAGTGAGTGAGTGAGTGAGTGAGTTTGTGAAAAATCGCTGATTGTGACTCTCATGAAGTGAAATAAACAGGTTTAATATGTCAAACACATTCTTTGCAACCTCTTCTTGTATCCTACCAATTCAAAATTTGATCATGTCATCTAATTATTTCATAATTTAGAAAAACATTGTTTTAGCTGAAATGAGTCTTTGCAACCTTGGTCCTAAGTAACATTGATCGATGCTCTTCGTCGACTTTCTCTTTCGTTAATAAGTTGAGCAGTTGAGCACGTTTCTTCGTGACCTTCTGGTCTTAGAGTTCCCTCTATGATATAACCGTTTCTTGTTGTGTTTGTCGTATTAGAGATGCTAGATAAAAGCTTTATCGATCTGTGTGCTGAAAATACCTGGGAATGTGTTTAGATGGCCGAGGGGATTCAAGGAGAAAGTCGACGAAAAAAATCTTTTCCATGTTAATTAGGACCTAATGCAATGTTTCGCTTAGCTGTTGCAATGCAAAGAGAAAATTTATGAAGAGAATGGATCATTGCAAGTAGACCCTTTTCAACGCTCACTGTCGAATTTCAGTACCTAGCACTGAAAAAAAAACTTAACTTTAAATGATCTTTATTTCTTGTATTTGTGTGGTTTACATGTATTATTTATCAAGTGACACAGATGCGACTTTTCAACTTTAGTTATTTTGAATTTTCAATTATTATTAATTACAGTTCCTATTCCTATTAGGCCTAATTTAGATAATGACCATGGTGGGATTGGTTTGTTTCAAATTTGAAAAAAGGAGACTACTTATAACTACTATTTACAACTACAACTAACCTACAACTACTATATACACCTAATCTACTATGTACAAATTGCTTCTCAAAGCATGTTCTGATATCTTAAATTTTTGTGCAAATTTAGTCTTACTTTCGTTAATTCTGAAATCTATGCAGCAATGCCTGCCTCTTCGCGTAAATTTGTTATTCTAGTGTCGAAAGGACGATCAAGTACCATCCTCAGCACGCAATTCCGAGCGACCTGGATTTTGTTCCTGTGAGTCTGTGCACATGATTCCCACACCGGAGCTGCGTAGAGGATCGCAGGTGCTATGATTTATTTGTAGACAGCTAGTTTGTTCATCCTTGAGAGGCGGGATCTGCGGCAAATCAGCGGATACAGACACATAACCAAGGTAGAACACTTGACTATAGTTTTCTCTACATGCGAACGGAAGAGGAGCTTTTCATCGAACAACATCCCGAGATAGGGTACTTCGGCAGACCACTCAACCCTTGTGCCATCCATGATTACAGTACAAGAGGGAGCCGGTTTTAGTTTGGGCGATTGCCGATGGAGGAACATGATTGTTTGAGTTTTGGAGACATTGATTTTAATTTTCCACGTGGTGACATAATCAGCAAAGGCGTTAAGGCATCGTTGAAGGGTTGAAGTTTGCTCGTTATTTCGCGAGGCATCCTTCATTTGACGGCTATTGCGGAATCATCTGCGAACAGGAAAAACAAGCATCCGTCTTCCAATGCTACCGACGCCAGAGAGGCAGCTCCCACACCTGGACCCTACCTATCGACCTATCAACTCATGAACCGGGGGCCAACGGCATTACTTCCCTTCCGAAGGAAGGCGTGATCAGAGATGTTATGTCTCAGAACATCCCGACGGCGCCGACTAGGATTGAACCCAGGCCTACTGGGGTGAGAGGTAATCACGCTTACCCCTACACCACCGGTGCCGCTTATTAGAATAATTTGTACAATCTCATTGTAAGGTAACCCACACTTTTACCTAACATGAAGATTGCCGATTCGGAATCCTAGATTGTGAACCTTCGAAAAATGTGAAGATTATTGGCGTAGAAAATATGTTATGTATTAAGACTTGAAAATATTTGAGAGATCTCACAAATTGGAATATTTTCCGATGGGGAATTTTAGCCTATGCTTTTTCATAATAGATTTCACTTCTTTCAAACATGAGCGAGTTTAAATTCTGAGTTTAATTTTTTCATCTGATGATATTTCTAGCTTTAGATTTTTCCATCTTTGAAAAATGTGCGGTTCTTTTGAGGCTTATGTAGTAATGGTTTTTGACATCTCGGATGAACAATGCATCAACATAGGTAATGTAGCTTTATTTATATGCTGCTGATTTTTTTTAGATGAAGATCTGTTATGGCCAAGGGGTATTCAACTCTGCACAACTCTGTGCCGAGTGATTGAGCTGTGCCGAAAACTCTCCCAAGCGTTATGCCGAACGTGCCTATCAAGGTGTAAATCAAAGTATGCCTATCAAGGTGTCAATATTCCATGAGTTTGGCAACCCCGAAAGCTATGACTTTTTTTTATTGTGTTTACATTCTCAATTTCTCTGATGGATCATGGCAAGCAATCAGCATTCCCTTCTGGGACGGGACTTGACAATCGGGTAGCGATTTCGAGCCAATTTGCTGTCAAATCCGAGCCAGTTTCTGATTGGTCGATTAGACAGTAGCAATCGTGGAATAAAAAGGACAGAGGGATCGCATCAATCTGGCTAGCAGTGATGCCGGAATCAATGTTGACGTGAATGGCGTTGTTAATTTTTTATATTTGGGAAAGGAAAGTTGAAAAATTGAGTGCATTGCGTGTTTTAAGCGTTGGATATTGTTGTTTGTTTATGGTTGTTGTGTTGAGCAAAAATGATGTACAAGTTGCTAAACTGCGGAAGAAACTCCGAATAAAATCTAAATTAAAATAGAACAAATATTTTACATTCCTGGCATCCTTGGTCAACTCCGTCAAACACCACGCACAAGTTTCCGAAGGGCATTCTTCAAAAACATTAAGAAGAGTGAGAAGCTTGATTGTCAAGTCTCGTCCCGGCTTCCCTTCACTCTTATTAGAGCGTTAGCGGATTGCGAGGTGGAAGAAGAAGTGCAAGAGGGAGTGAAAGCCACACACATTATTTGTTAAATTTCCATACCGGTGATCCTCGGCAAGAGCAATCTGGGGGGATAGCTTTTTTTTTATTTATTGATTATTTTGCAAAACAAACTTATACCCTTAAACCTGCAACTCTCGCAGGTCATCCTACTTTGATTCTTCGTTGTAAGCTTCGAGATCGGATACCCACGACTGTAAAAAATATTTAGTCCAAAAATAAGAAGCGTTTTCTGGAAAAGCCTCCAGTTGGTGACCTTTGGTGAAAGCATGTGGGCAAGAATGTGAGGGTTTATCGAGGTTCATCCATAGGGGATCCATTTGTTTGATATTGATGAGATTGTCTGGCTTTTCAATTCTCCCATCAATGGAAACCGCCGGGCATTTTTCGGTCGGTAAGTCCAGTCGGTCGGTTTGACCAGCTTATATTTTTCATAACATTCTCAGCGTAGTCAAAACTTGTCAGATGTACAAACAATGTCCTTCTCAATTTCTTGATGATACGATATCAAACTTCTTCAAAATTTCCTCCGCAGCCGGCTTAATTTTGATTTGCGTCTCAACAATGATATGTACTGCGAACTTGCATAAACTGATGTTCAATGTCTCCAGGTTTGATTTTGATTTTCATGGTCGCGGGATCCAACTACTCTGCACGATAGGAAGACTCAATGACTTCGCCGACCGCATTCCGAACTGTACCAACATATTGGGATGACCAGATCTTCCAGGCTTTTGGCCAACCGTAGCTGGAGGTAACCCGTTTAAGCCGTCTTGACTGCCGTATTGACAAGACCCTCTCAACTGGCCACTTGATCAAACTTGATTAAAGTGAAGTCCGAATATAAGCTGTTCAGGATGAACACTCGAGCCGCTGGAATTTTTGCTGGGAATCGAATGACTGAGTTTTACTAGATTACAGATTTACAGATTACTTACAGATTTTTTAGAATGATCCTAGAAACCGGATTGTCGTCCATATTTTTTTTATTGAATCGTTGTTCTATCAGTTTTATGTATGACAAAAAATTCTCTCACTAGTCACTTTTGAGTAAACAAAGTCTTCAATCGAGTAGTCAACCTTAGCAACGATTGACTGAACGTCAACACTCAACAGTGATGCCGTTTTATATTATATTGTTTATGTCCTACTAGTCAAAGTGTACCCCATCGTGCCAAACAGTGTGCCATGATGTGTTTCGGCACAATGTGCAGAGTTGATTACCCCTTGGTTATGGCCTTATTTCTGATGAATCCCATCTTCACTTAGAAAAAATAAAATCACAAATATCAGCTCCAACGATAGCAATATGAAAATGGATCCCAATGTATGCTACAAACATGAAGTTGCATTTGCAAAGCTTGAAGTTGATGCAGTTTCCGTGATTTGTATTCTAGCCCATTTGAAGTGATAGTGCAATTCCGTCATTATGTCGGTCATATTTGGACTCCATAAGGTATTTCCTAAAATTAGAACAACGCAGATGTCGCAAAAGCTCTTAATTTAAACTGTTGAGTAAAAGCCCCTCTCGTTTAATTACTGCCTAAAATAGCATATTATTTCCATTTGGATTTTTGTCAATTTGAAGATAACTACGTTATCCACTATCAATAGGTATATACTTACATATTACGTGATAAAACTGCGGGCTTTGATAATGAAAAATGTTCAAAGTAATCGCATATCCGTCCCATCCTGAAATTCGATCGTTCAGAGGTCAAGTTACAGTTCTGCTTTTTGGATCGCCATATTTTTCGGTAATATAACAAAACATGCCAGTTTCTTTGTAACTGATTTTAACTAGAAAAAAAAATACAAATTAATTTACTTTGATTTTTCACTGAGAATTCTACTTCGTAACTTCAACTGCCATTTTCTCAATGCCTACTTTTTCATATGAGACTGCAGTATAGTTGGCATAAACATCAAAATTGCTTACAAGCTTGAATACAATATTGCAGATTTATTATGTGATATTGCGCTTAAATTTACATGAAACATCGTATACAATACGCCAAATCTAGCGTAAATGACGTGTGCCCCATATATCGCACAAATTTACATGAATTTTTCGTACGGTGTATGACGAAAAGCGAACAACTATAAAAAATTCGGCTTGATGACTCACTCGGCCTAATGGTATTCTGTGATTCAAATTTTTGTTTTAGATTGTTTTACGATATTTTTCAATGAATTTCCAAGAAAATGTTTTCTTGCATTGTTTTTACATTACATCTGATGCAATAGGGGTGCTAATGGCCTTTTCGAGTAGCGGGACTTAAAATTGGTCCCTAAACGTCTCCTTCAAATTTAAAAATCCTTTATCACAGCATCCACACTCCGGGATAAGAAATCTCTGTACTGCCTGACGTACAGTGATAATACAGAGAAACGGAATCACCTCTTCGGTGCACTGATTTTGACACGCGTCTGCGCATAAATTGGCATGCGCTTCCCTCCGGCTCCGAATGCACACGGCACCGTGCGTTCCCAAACAACATACACACTAAGCAAACGAATCTCAGCCATGGAATGCCATCACACTGGCTGTATGCTATTATCCTTGTGCAATCGAACGCCACAAGGATAATGTAACCTGTCAAAACATATACAAACGCATACCAGCAGAAACCTGAGTTGAATGTGTGACCAAAGTCGAAAGCATCGGGGAAAAGTTTATTTCAGCGGAATCGAAAGCTATCAATGGCCAGGAATTTCGTTTGATTCAAGTGAAAATAAGCTACTTCGATATTCCGAATCCTTAGAAGGCCTTCGAGTCATGCTTTTGCAATAAGCTGTGAAGATCTCGAAAGGGTGCGACAAAGATTGCGCGTTCGGATCCGGATCGACTTTGATTGTATAATAAGCTTTTGTGAGTGAGCGAATGAGAAAGTGAAAAAAGTTTTCCAAATGTCGATTGGTGGGACTTTGGCCTTTGTCCTGTTGAATTTCGACATGGAAGTAAAGATTCTTGGACACATTTACTGTAAAGCTCCCGTAAATCCATCGACAACATGCCAATAGAAAGGACAATAAAAATGTCAAAACAGTAATAAGATAGTACAACCTAACAATAGGATATATTATTAGTACGCTTAGCTGATGTTGTGTACCCCGTCGACACCCCCGCCAAGAAGTGCAGTGAAGTGAAAGGGTGTAATGTAAAGAAAAGGATTTGTTTTGTATGAATGTTGGAAGCAGTGTTACGAATTTGGCTTAGTATTTAAACGCCTAGAAGAGTATACTATTTTGTTTTTCACATATAGTAATAAATATAACAAAATGCACGGATATCCTTTCATGCAAGTGGTGCAGTACAGTGTACCTACGTGCACTTGGGCACCTCCACCTGTGGATCCACCTCGTCCCCCATCGGCTACAGCGGGTCATTATTCTACTAGCAACACCAGTATATGTGTCCAATTGTAATGAATGTGATTTCCAAATTTATCCTTCAACAGCGCCCACGACCCCTGGAGTACGGAAATACGTCATATGGTGCCTGATATGTGGCGGAATATCTTGCCTGTTGGGGATTCTGTTTCTGGGGATCTACTTCCTCCTTCGGTCCTATACCAGCACGGTTGGATACTTCGAAACGGTACCAACGTTCGTTCCTGCCACATTGGTATGTAATTTGATTGACTTTAAATTTATTTGGCGATCGCATAAAATGGATTATTTTTTTTGTATTGTAGCTAATGGTAACCGGGATCTGTATTATGAGCCTTGCCAGGCGGAGAAATCGCTATAGTTATTTGGTAAGTATAGTTATTTGTTTACTCAAAATGTTTCAATAGGTAAGTCGTAAGGAACCTAATAGGGGTATTCACTGTGCGCATCGTAAACATATACACTATCGTAAAAATAGCAGGGTCAATTGGAGTGTAATGGAAGTTTACGCATTTACGAGGGTTTATACGTTTACGATGCGCTTTGTGAATACCCCTAATGTCTCAGTTGAGAAATTAGGATCGAAAGATTTTTTAACCGTTTTTAATCTGCAAATTTTTCAATCTGAACCCCGCTAAACTAAAGCCCTACAGTAAAAGTATGGACGTCTGTCAAAAGTTTTTCCAATCGAACCGTCAAAATGCACCGCTTTGCTCGATTGGAACAGATTTTTTTCAGTTTTGTGGTGACAGTCGTCCATACTTTTACTGTAGGGCTTTACGCTAAAATGCACTGTGCAAATTAAAAATGGCTCAAACGTCATTCAGGTCATGGAATGGAGTAAAGTTAAATGGAACATTGCGAAATGGAACGCATAATCAAAATAAAACAACAAATAAGGCTACCAGAAACACACGATTTCCTGATGCTCGTAGGCTTACTAGAATTTCAAATTGAAAATGAACCTCAGATTAGCGGGGGTCAACGGTACTCCTAAATGACACTTTAACCAACCGGTGGAAATGTGGATTTGAAATTGGCTCACTACTAGACTAGCCTATTGGTCCCAAGCAAATCGATTAACGCATCCCATTCTAGTCGAAATTCTAGTACTACACTATGTTTGTTTTGATTCGCTATGACAAATTTGACAGATAATATGATGGTTCGTGGATTTTCCTATGTTTTGAGGGGTGCATCGAATAGCTTCCCGAGCAAAGTCGGTTAACAAAATGAAAGCAAATCGATATTAAAGTTTGCAGTTCCTATCATAATGAAAACTCATTTTGATTTCAATTGTCGCGACAGAAGTCTGATTTAATATTGTGCTTTCATTATGCAGCCAAGACATTTTAAATCAAAGCAACTTAACTTGAAGTTCTGCTTTTAATTTCTTGTTTAAAATTTGATTTAAGTTCATCTGTCGTTTATTTCTTTTGTTTAACATATATTAGTTCATTCGTGACTAAGCCGAGGTGAGATTTGAGATCAAGTCTTTCAGCGTGAAAAGCATGGATGCTAACCATTTATGCCGTGCCCGTATTCAGTTAAACATTATGAATGCAAAACAGCTATTAAATTGATTTCATTGAAAGCAGGATTTGTTTTCCGTTTGATCCAACAGTGTAAAATGTTGCTCTCGTTTTTGCTGTGTTAACCGTTAAGTCAACCAAAATTAAATCAAATGGAGTATTCAAAATAAGCTACATCATAACAGCAAATTCTGATTTCAATTTGTTCTCTAATTTTGCTCGGGTTGGGACTAAAGATAGTATCAGAGCTGAACCAAAAAGTTGAGCAGGTTTCTTCAGGACCTTCTATGCTTTAACTATGGTTTTTGCACCGCTTTGATTATGATTCAAATAATGTTTGAAAATAAAGTAATTTTTGAAAAACAAATATTATTCGTCGTTTTGTAAGCTGATGAACCAGCCTAAAGCTGATTTCACACTGTTTGCCTACACGACAAATATTTGACTCGTTAAGTTTTGCAAAATAATGCATTTTGTCATATTTGTTTGCCTACGGGAAGGTCCATTAATTATGTCACGCAAGTTTGGCCCATTTTCAACCACCCTCCCCCCTTTGTCACATTTTTTGTATGGACCTTATTTTTTTTTGTATGGCTTGTCACAGTTTCCAAAACCCCTCTCCCCCCTAAATGTGTGAGATAATTAATGGGCGATCCCTCCTCAATGTACCAATGAATTGCTTATCATTGATGAGTAGTGCGAGTGTAAATCATGAATTACCGCATTTTCGTAGACATTGGCCAATGCACGCAATGAACTCACGAAAAAATTGACGTTTGAGTGGTGCCGTTTTTACTAAAAATGAACACATTACATAATGCTCGCGTAACTTTAGAAAAGTACCTATCAACTTTTATAAACAACTTATTAAGCCCTTTTCGTGCGAACCGAAGTACGCCCATGCAAACCAACACCATCACCCTTCCCGATAGCATAGAGATAACTCTAAGACCAGAAGGTCCCGAAGAAACGAGTTCAACTTTTTGGCTCAGCTCTGGTACTATCTTCGGTCCCAAGCTAATCGATGCACCCCTCGAAACATAGGAAAATCCACGAACCCCTCATTTTATCAGTCAAACTTTCATAGCGAATCAAAACAAACATAGTGTAGTACTAGAATTTCGACTAGAATGGGGTACGTAATCGATTTGCTTGAAACCAATAGGCTAGTCAAGTAGTGAGCCAATTTAAAATCGTTAGTTTCGTATTGATTGTTGCTAATACTTACACAACTGCTGACGGCTTCGACCAGTGCAACCAGAATAATGCATTTGTATTCTATAGAAGTATAAGGAAATTGAAATAGTGCTAGTTTCGTAATTGAACACAGTTTAAGCAACTAAGTTGACTAGCTGATTAGTTCCAAGTACATCTATAAGCGCGCCCTAATCTCGTACTAAATTTGACAGAGTTTAATTAAGGGGTTCGTGGATTTTTCTGAATTTCGAAGGGTGCTTGAATTATCTTGGGACCGAAGGTCTGTTACAGCGTTGTAAGATATACCGATTTATCGCTATTATCCCCTATTTTCGAACTTGATACCGATATACATATATGGTTCCGCAGAATACCGATTTATACCGATTATTGCCTGTCCACGCTCAAATATCAGAGAAAGCTATTGTGAGAGACTTTTAACGATTTGAATATGTCAAATTTTTGAGCCTCCAAATGCTCAAACAAAATTTCATCTCTAAAAATGCATAATTAAAAACCATTACCGACTTCGGTAATTTTTACCGAACTTTCAACAGCTTAAGTGTTCGGTAACAATCAGTCATTAATGAACTGATAGTTTTAAAGCTTTGAAATGAGGAAAACTTCACCAAGTTTTACCGAAATATCAGCTGTTGAAACTTCGGTAAAACATTACCGAAGTCAGTAATAATTTTTAAGTGTGTGTGTGTGTGTGTTATGCTTGATACTCTTTCGACTAGTGTTTCTATTTCATCGCCGTTTGTGGCAACCCAGTCTAGAAAAAGTTGATAGCTTATCCCGGTAATTCCTGGAAATCGGGAAATATTTTTATCTTTTATGTGGCCAATGAATGTAATTTTTTATCTTTCTTGAGTTTATTTAATTATCCCTTGGAAGTTTATTCCAACTCTCCCCTGAAATTTTCTTCCAACTTACCCAGTAGATTGTTTCCGATTCCTTCCGGAAAATTATTTTTACTTCCCTCGGAAGCTTCTGCTGGCTTCGCTTGAAAAGTTGTTTTGTCTTCTCTCGCAAGTTTTTTTCAACTTCCCCTGGAATATTGTGCTAACATCACCTAGAAGATTCTACCGATTTCCACTGTAAATTTTTTTTGACATCCTCCAGAAATGTCTTTCTTCCGGATTTTGTTTTCCGCAACTTCTCCTAGAAGTTTCTTTCGCCTTTCCCAAAAACTCTCTGGCTTCCGCCGGTAGAAGCTTCCGACTTTCTTCAGAAGTTTCTTTCAAACTACCTCAGGAAGTTTCTTCCAAACTACCGCAGGAAGTTTCTTCCAAACTACCGCAGGAAGTTTCTTCCGTCTTCTCCAGGAAATTTCTTTAAACTTCTACCGGAAGTATCTATAGAATTCTCCCAGAAAATTATTTCTTCTACCTCTGGAAGTTTCTCCATGAGCTTCTTCCGGATGATTTTTTTTTTGAAGGTTTTCCGGCGCTTCTTCTAGCTTTCCCTGGAACCGGATACCCCTGGAATTTTATTCCGATTTCCGAAACCTTCCTGGCTTCCTCTGGATGTGTCATCCGATTTGTTCCGGAAGTTTCTTAAAATTTTCCCAAGAAGTTTTGCAATATTTGTCTTGGAAGCTCCCCAAACGTTTTGCCGACTTTTCTTAGGACTGTCTTCAAACTTCCTCCTTCTTCTTTTTCCACCATTTTTGTATAATTGTGTGGCAAGTACAATCATATTCTATGCCCAGGGAAGTTGTGTAATTTTCCAGCCACCTCCAGCATGATCTTGCTTTGTAGCTGCGCCTTTACAGACTGAGCTAAGGGAGGCCCCAATTATAATAGTAAATACCGATATATACCGATTATTTTAAACCATTGCAATGGTTTAAAATAATCGGTATTTATGTCATGTGACAATGAGAAAACAGGCCCTCTCACTATCACGAGACGAAACTACTTATCATTGGCTTTCTTGTCATTTTCCAATGATCAAGCTCTCATGAGAATAATTCTTGCACGGTTTTGACATCAACATTTCTAACTGATTTAGATGAATTAAGGCAAGCAACCGTATGTAATCTATAGAGTGAATATATTATTAAGATTTCCTCGGAACTAGTAACATTAATAGCAATAAATGAGCTAGTAATTAGGAGTCCTTGGTCTTAGTGTTAGTCTACGGGAACTCTAAATGCAATAAAAAATTGTTTTTACACAATCTATTGCAAGTAAATCGATAACACTACCCAAGTAACCAATAAGCCCGCCAATTCGCCTTTTTGCAATACTAATATAAAGCTTAGCATACCCCTATATGTTAGCCGTGTATCAGCCTTATATTGCAAAAAGGCGAATTAGCAGGCTTGTTGGTTACTTGGGTAACGATGATTGATCACACACCTTCACACTTAAATGCTCCTAGAGTTGCGAAGAAGCTTTAGATTCCTTATAATTGTGCATGGAGACTCAATACACAACTATAGGAACCTAACGCTTCTAGCGTACTGCAACTATAGGAGCGTTTACCCTGGATGGTCGTCAATCATACAAGGTCTGGAACAACAAGTAGCATGCTGGTGTTAGAAGCAAAAATGTTGTAAACATTGCTGAGCAATCGAATGCCGATGTCACGGCAGCACAACATTCCATACTGCGAATAGCAGACGTGTCGTCACAGAAAACAGCTGTTTCGTGTAAAAAGATAAACATTGCGATGAAATACGACCACCACTAGACATTTTCACATTTCACTAATACCAATAAGCTGGATGGGCCAGACCTTGTATAATTGACATGAGACCATCATCATTTAGCCAACTTTGAAATCCATTGTTCTATACAATGTAAATATTAGTGAGAAGTTTCACTAATACATACATTTTACTGGTTGAAAATAAAAAACAAACCGCTGTCAAGTCGAACACTTTGACAGCTGATTTTGTGGTTGAAAATATTAAACAAATCGATTTTACACGACTAAGCCACAGAGAACAGACATGGAGGCTCGAACAAAATTTCTCTAAAAACTTGTGTAAAGATTCCTATTCGACTTAAGTGCCACTAACGGTGACTTCCCCACTTAAAAACCCTCTTTGACAACATGATGGCGCTGGCGTTGCACAAACTACACTAGACACTAAGTGCTAGTAGCGCCAAGTGGCAATTTTCAACAGAAAAAGTATCGATACTAGCGCCAAATTGGTCGAAAGTGGAAAATTTATAGAGAAAATCAGGAGATGCTAACATCACGTAACGGTGACGTTCCCACTTATTTTACACAAGTTTCTGACCGAACTTGAACGTCTGTTCTCTGTGACTAAGCTCACTAGGTTGTATTAGTGAGATCTTACGTCGAGAAGTCAATTAATCAACCTTTCACATTCTCTTCTATTCCAGATCAAACTGTCAGGTGCATGTGGGCTGGCATCGGCTCTAACCTGTGCCCTCGTAACAGTGACCACCACGGTGCTGCACATGAGCCGCCTCCAGGTGCTACGGGAATGTGAATACACGCAAAAGACACGAACCTGCACGTGCTACTCGGTAACAGCCGAGAAGCAAGCCGAAGGCCTCGACGACAACGTAAGATTTGTGTTCGATTCCACCTCCGACTGTGGGGTCGTTCACGGGGCGTTGTACTCTTGCTTGCGGGCGGTCTTTGGCCTATCGGTGGCCGGGGTCCTGGTAGCAGTTTTCAGCTGCATGTTGGTTTATCAATTGCTTAGTCATGAACGCAAGAAAATGTACTGGGAGCAGCTAGAGCTGAGGTGCCGCTCGCTATATTCCGGACAGCAAGGACCTTCAGTGCTTCCATCTGGGCCTATGTTGGCGTCCGGGCGGAGCGGGAACTGCCGATGTTGCGAACAGTGTCATGCCCATCGGAATGTGATGCCATCGGCTTATCCCTGGGAAGGCGATCAGCGATTTTGGGCTCCTGGACAAGCGGGAAACTTTTATTCTCCCAACCCTGGAGGGGAAGAAAATCCCGGTGGAAATAGACTGAATCAAAATGGCAGAAGGATGCCCGGGTGGAGTTGGCCAAGGATGCCCTGGCAGCGAAATGATTCTCAACGCATGTCTCCACATAGTCCGGATTCCCAGTATGGATTCTCAAACAGAACTGGCAACGTTCCAGATCCTGTGTCCATCGCAGCCAGTCAGCCAAGGTACAATGTGATTGAGCAGCAGTATGGCATCTGGGGGCCACCACCCCCCTACAGTGATCCGAACAGTCCAGCCCGAAGAGGCCGTTATCAGTACATCCATCCAGCACAGTGTCAACCAATGATTGAATCAAATGCTCCACCAACCAACATAGCCATACTGGAATGCCACCAACACCCGATGGCAACCGAAAACCATTCCATCCAACAGTTCAACAATGCCACCCAACAAAATGTATTCCGCAATCCGGGTAAACGACAAACGTTTAAACCAGCGAAGGACAACTACGAAAACACTCCGTCGGATAGTGATGGGCCAAGGGATCGTTTCTCCAATACGCTTCCCTTGAGGAAGACCAAGAAACGTGTAGAGGCTGGCGCGAAGAGTATCGGACCGAATCAACCTGCTACGCGAGTCAACGTCCAGAATGTGTTCAACTCAAACTCAGCCAATGGTCAACAGAATTCAGTTGAGACGTCAGAGAATGAGTACAACGAACCGTCGTTACCGAGCAATGAACCCGGCTGCAGTAGTCAACCAGCGCCGGTCCATGCCAAAACACGAAGGGTTAAAGCCGGTGTCGAAAATACCGGTTTCCAAACTGTAGAAGCCCTAGAGGCGGATGGTATGAATGGCAAGATCCCGGAACCAACCGAGTCGGAAGTTTATTTTGCCGATGTGAGTAGTTGTTGCAATATGTCCGTCAAGAATGACAACTACTATGAAGATGCGAACCAAAGACGTAAGAATATGAAGGATAAGAACAAGCAGGTTCATGAGCATGAACAGTTTAGTAAGGATCAAGCCGATGATTACATCGCTCAGAGATTCGGCAAGAGAGAACCATCCGTTCGCAGCAGGTTACCCTTCCCACAGATCATCCCGGAAACGTACGAGAAACCAATAGTTATGCCCCGTCCTTCGTTAATGCACAAGGATATCTCGCGCCAGAGTATGTGTTCTGTTGAGTCGGGTGAGAAGACTGACTATACCGATCTGTCCCCTGCGACTCCAAGTACAAATTTTCCCTCGGTAACATATCCCCAGCAGGACTCCACCAATAACTTCAACGCGTCAACACAACCCGGTAGCAGTAGCGGTGGTGGACCTACGACGTCTATGGGCACTGTAGCAGACTTTACTGCAGAGCCCAACAGTTCCAATTTCATCGCATCCTATCCGTACTCGTCGAACGAGCAAAGCCAAGAAGCTCACCGACGTTCGACGAAGAACCTCCAGGATATCTTCTTGGCACCCGACTCACAGTATGAGGTAATCACGGAATCCAGTAAGTACAATGAAACCACTCCGCTAACTCTGTCCTACATGACCCAGCAGGACATGTCCGCCCAGTTCTCCTATCTTCCGAGCAAGATGCCACCTCCTTCGTCCCGTGAGCATCTCAGCTACCAACATCAACATCCTGCGGTCGCATCGCAACAAGCCCATCAACCACAGCAGCAGCTGAATCCGAAATCCCCCAAAAACCTGAACATCACTCCAATCAAACGGCAAAGTTTGGGGACCAACATTAGCTCTATCATACAGAATCTTAGCGGTAGTGACGCCGGGCTACTTTACCCGGAAGGGCGACATAGCCATAGCCAAAGTTCATCCGGTGGGGCAACGGCCGGCGGTAGCAGTAGCAGTACAGGCAGCGGTGCACCAACTGGACTGATTCGGGATTTGGATTCGACCCAGCAGCCCAACCGGGCGGCGGATGATAGCAGCAACGACGAGAACAATCTCTCCGATCCTAGCGATCGACATCGATTGTGAGATGAAGTGTACGTGTGAGTAGATCCTACCTGCTGAAACAGCACGCACGGTCCGAAGGGGGCTTGATGGTGCGATGTGTGGGTAAAGGGTGTACGCTTCAAAATCTGACCGGTTCGTTTTGGATTCAACTCCGGCATTATTATAGGGCTGATACAAGAAATGGTGTGTGTGTTTGTATGTCTAGACAACCGATAAATCAACATGAATTTACATTGAAATGTTTTATCATAGCATGACCGATTGTTTTCGGAAAACTTTTTAGATGAACCATGAATAAGTGTATATAAGAGTAATGCAGAATTTGACATTTTCGCTGGTTCCAAATCAGGTTGTGATCATCGTCCCAAAGTTTGAACTAATTTAATTTAAAACGGACAGTGCACAAACAATTTAAAATTTGTGTGAGAATTTCTATGAGAAGAGTAAACTTTTTGTTAATATCTTTCTAGAACTTCACATCGATACCTATGCTTGTGTGAAATGTTCTTTTCGACAACTTTACTGAACATCACTTTTCGGTTAAATGTAAGGAATAAAAGTTGTTTTTCCTTGGTTTGTTTTCCGTCGATCTAGTTTTCCGTGCTGAGCACCAATGCTACCGACGCCAGGGAGGCAGCTCCCACACCTGAAGCCTACCTATCGACCCATCAACTCATGAACCGGGGACCAACGGCTTTACTTCCTTTCCGAAGGAAGGCGTGATCAGAGATGTTATGCCTCAGTACATCCCGGCAGCGCCGACTGGGATTGAACCCAGGCCTGCTGGGATGAGAGGCAATCACGCTTACCACTACACCACCGGCGCCGCTGAGAAATAAAAGTTATTAATGGTTCAAGACGCTAATGTTTTATGATCAGACTCAATCAACTGCTCAGCAGGGAACATTGGTATTTCTGGCGCGTTATATAGAGCACAAAAATCATGGCTGATATGTCACTCTGCACAATACAGTGTTGCCCATAAAGCAGCTGCTGGATCATGTCATAAGATTACCAATCGCTTAAATAATTAATTATTTTTCATTTGTCGTTTGACAAAAAACGGCCTTTAACGATCTTTCCTTCAAAAATGGCTATCAAATTTTGTCTCAAAGCAATATTGAAAAAAAATCCCATGCAAACTTCAAATGATTTGTGCACAGTTTATTTCTAACCAAAAAACCTAAACCAAGTTTTGGGAAGCTAATCAGGACGCGATTTGGAACCGTTTAAGAATTGTGCAGCGAAATTTTCAAATTATCAGTCTACATAGGTGCATATATTATTAGGTGGCGAATGCTTGACCTGTTCTGGGATTTTTTTTATCGAGATCAAATAAATCCGTTGCATGACCGTTGAGCCAATAAAGCAAATAAATTGAAACAATAGAGTAAATAATTACCAGCTATATTGTTGAAACCAACTTAACATTGAATAGTATTTCACTTATTTTCGTAATAGAGGTTACTGTCAGCGAAGCTGTCAGCGATTCCATAAATACTGATACGAAAAAAGTTGGGCCTCCTTGTTTATTTTGATACCGTAAGGTACTAGAATATTTTTTTTTTTAAACTGTATTTGTGGCATCACTGGTTGCTGCACCCGAGCAAAGTCCAGCATCAAAATGACAGCAAATCGAAATCGTAATTTGATATCAACATCAAACTGAAGTCAAAATTTGATTTCGGATTACACAATTGATAAATTTGATAATAAATTTTGGTTTAATTTCAGTGTACATTGTTCTTCAAAAATATGTTGTTACAGTTTTGTTTTCATTGCCTTAGCAGAAAATCAAATTAAATACAGTCGAATTTCGCTCGTTGGGCTACGTTTTAGTTGGGCTCCCGTTAGTTGGGCTGTAATCCACCTCAATCGAAGTCAACGGAATGCAATTGAGCCGAAAAGATCACTAAGTAAAATAAGCCATTACAAATACTGCAAACTTTGCCTATATTTTAACTATTTAAAAAATTCGCATGGATCTCTTTACAGGATTCTTCTGAAATGTTCTCAAGAATTTTCTTTAACATAATTTCCTTTCAAATAGTTCTATTCAGAAATCCTCAAAAATAAATTTGAAAATCTCTTTAGGATTCCCTTGGGATTTTCTTTATAACAGTGCAAAAATGCTATACAGATAACTTCTGACAAAAATCATGGAATTCATCCTAAGATTTAAAACGAATTTATTTAAAATTTGCTTGAATTCTCCATAGAATTGTCATGCAATTCACCTCAGAAAAGTCTTAAAAGTCTGCTCAAAATAATATATATTCTCCTCGAAATGCTCTTAGAATTCCCTTGAAAATATACTCAGAATTTAATTGAAATTTTACCCTAATAAATCTATTCCTTTGGTATTCTTCTTGGAACTTTCTTCAGAATTCACTTAAAATTTGTCCTTGAATTATTTTGTAAGAATCCTCAGAATTGAATACCCTCGGATTATCATTGGAATTATCATCGCAACTCTAAAAAAATCGTATTAGAACTTATTTGTAATATTCATTCGAAATGGACCTGGAAATTTGTTCCCAACCGCCATGAAATTTTCCCCAGAACAATCTAAGAATTCAATTATGATCTCTCCTTCATTCACCTGGAGCTCTTCCAACAACTACCTTGGAAATCTTCCTAAATTTGACATAGAGTTCTAGTCGAAACTCTCTTAGAATTCTTTCCAAAACTATCTTCGAACTTTCCTCTAAAATACTTTGGTGTTATCCCGTTTATCCCATATATTTTTAAAATCTCTTCATAATTCGGAGTAGGTATAAAAATTCTCTAAATACTGCTTGAAAGCAGTGCCGTAAAACGGTAGGGCGATGGTAAGCTAAAGTTAGGGCACCCAATTTAGAGGAGGATTTCAGATGTTTACTTTTGACCCCTTTGTTGTCTTCTTCTTTCCTTTATTTAACGTCGGTCTCTGTTCCGCAATCTAGTGTCAATCACCGACGGACATCGATTGCCATCCATTGACGGCAATCGAATGTGCAGGAAGGCAGCTTCCACTCCTGCCTAGGATATCGCACTATACTGATGCAAAATTGTAGCTGGGAAAGATTTTGAAGTAGACCGATATGGTGAATTATTAGATAGACATGAACAAAAATCTTGGTTTTACCATACTAATTCCCATACAAACTTCAAATGGTTTGTGCCATCTCAGTTTCTCACCCAATGGGTTCAAATTTTGAGAGGTTAGTCAGGATACGATTTGGAATCGTTTAAGTATTGTGGAGCAAAAACTTCAAATTTTGCATCACTCTAATATCGCACCCATTAAATCACACATGGGCAGCCCTTTGTTCTCAAGCTTCCAGCTGATCATGTTTACATAAAAAAAAATCACAACTGGTGAATTCATTTGCGTACGAAAACGTCAATGAAATGCTGAAATGGTAAGAGTTCTAAAATTAACAGATGATTTTGGCAGTTTCCAAATTTCGTCGAGAAAGTCTATATAAATATTCATAGAAAACGCATATATTGTCAGATTACAGAAGAACATTAGGGCAGTTAGGCCGCTCGGTTTACAAAGCACCAACTTTTTAAGCTTTCTGTTTAGTTCTTGTTCCCACCGCCTAGAATCTACTTGATTTTATCATTGAAATAGAGTGTCCGTGGGATAGGGTTTCTTGGGTTTAGTTGTGCATTTTATAATATCGAGTAAGCCAGAACTGGGAACCAGAAGAAGATGGGCTATACAAACTAATTATTGACATATGGACTGAACCCAAGAAACAAGTTATTAAAACATTTCATAAATCCAAATAATGAGCATTTAGGCTGTGATAAAACCAAAATTCCTATTTGTGAAATTGGTTTTCCCAAATGTGGAAATAATCCTCTAAATATTTAAATGACCACCAACTGCTCAAAATAGATTAAAAAGGGTAAAACATAAATTAAGGGATGTTTAAACCAGACTAAATTGGTTACTGATCATGATTCTTCAGTGGGAAATATTGATATCAACACTTCAATTGACAAATTCGCAAGTATGAGGAGTCGTAAACAGATTTAGTTTATTCAGTTTAAATGTGTGTTAATATAAAAGCAAGTCAAGTAAATTTAATCGAAAAAGTATTGACGCTAGTAACTATTTTTATTTTTATGTGTGCCTTGAAGAAAATTTCAATAGGTCCCTTGAATTTTGAAGATTTTGTCTGCAATAATCAAATATTTGTTATGTCCGCGATCTCGAAGTGCTTTCCTAAAATTAAAGGCTTGAAACAATCTTGGATTAATCTTCACCATCCAATATTTGGGTCCATTGCCAAAGCAACTAAATAACGTCTTTTAAAAACTTCATATTTCCGCAACTAAAACAAATTTCGAGGTTTGGGGGCCTTGAAAAAAAACTATAAACACTTAGAAAAATTGATCATTTGTCAAGAATTTTTGCTAACCATTTTAAACAGAATTTAAATAAATTTATTTTTATGCTGAGTTAGAGGGGAGGGGGCTATGCCTATAGGGTCTCGGATATGAGTATTTTTCCTGTTAGGAAAGTGTTTTAGGATGATAACATAGACGAGTCACGAGTGCACGGTTGGATTTGAGTTCACTCACTCAAGAAAAAGTGACACAAGCTGCGGGCATTGTTTACTAGTCATGAACATTAATGGTGGCAAGCATCAGCTCGGATTAACTTTTATTTCCGACCCTGTCTGGATGATCTGCCAACTGTTTGCTTAGAATCGTGTTGATTAACTCTGATGTCGACGTCAAAGCAGCTGAATATTCTTGATCAGGATTTAATCCGAGGATAATACCGGTTGGAGCTCACCACCATGAAGGTTCATTGTTCAGCTCCAACCGGTATTATCCTCGGATACACTCACGATCACGAATGACAGGCTGTTCTCCTGTCGACGTCGATGTTAATTAATCCTATCCTATTGTCCGCAGCTTGTGCCACTTTTTCTCGAGTGAGTGAAATCAAATCCATCCCTGCACTCGTCTATACCGGTCTATACCACCGCTCGACAATTAGGTTTTGCACCGTCGGGGTTAACCAAAATCTGATGACAGTTCAGTGGTACTGTTTACGTGGACTTAGTCGATTTTTTCTTGGTAAGGTTCTGCAGCGTGACGTCACGAATTAATTCAGTGTTAGTCTGCTGAACCTTTTTGACAGTTCAGTGGTTTTCGAAAAAAATATTTTAATATTTCCGAATTTTAACTTGAAAATTGTCGAGGAACAGCGCGGTGAAAGGATGTTGCTCGTGGACAATGCAGAAGTGTGGTTTACATCTCACTGCAGTCTGAAAAATTGTCGAGAAAATGTACTCAAGAAAAAATCGTCCACGTTAACAGTACCACTGAACTGTCATCCGATTGAGGTTAACCCCGACCTAGGCGCTTAATACAAAGGTGACACACAAGGAAGAAGAGTTAGTTTGTTTACTAAAATGAACTATGCCCATTTTGTTATGGCAAGTTTTGCTATAAGAAATGCTCCTCGTGTTTATTAGCGAAATTCACATCAAAGGTTGATTAATTGCGTAGGAAATCAGTTTGGCACGGCATTTATGACATTTATGATATTGAAGGAACATTTTTTTGGTATTTTACCTCTTATGTCAGACTAACCAATACCAATTTAGGGTATCGAGATATTCGTTCCTGCTCGGGAGGAACCGATAACTAACCGATAACATATGAATATCTTAATGTGATATGATACCATATTTTGGTATACTTGTGGTGTAAAACCTTGTTTTGATATTATTCAGTTTTCGAAATATTTTGTAAAATATCTAATAAATACCAAAATAATATAATGGGATCTACCAATTTTTAGAGAATAGCACCTACAAGAGTATTGGATTGTAATTGTAATAACAAAATTATTTATTAGTTCGCTATTTGTAAAATTTTTTTGATGTATTGCTTTTGTTATTTTACCTCTTATATCAGCCTCGTCAATTAGGTACTTCAGCGTGACGTCACAAATGAACTAAGTGTTCATCGGCTGAACTAAGTCCACGTGAACAGTACCACTGAACTGTCATCCGATTGAAGTTAACCCCGGCGGTGCAAAACCTTATACCATATTCAGGTTGCCAGTTATACTATTTTCATACCTGAATTTGGTATTAATAAGCTATTTTCTCCTGCTCGGGATAATAAACCTACATTGTTTGAATACGTTTGGAACCAATTTCATACAATAATGATCAGTAGACTGATTTAACAGCATTTATGTGTTACTCGTTTTTTCGAGCAACACTTACTCAATTTCCTACATTTTTTTAGTAACCTTTACTTAATTTTGAGCACTGTTCACTTAATTGTTTAGTACCGTTAACTTACAGTTCTGAACAAGTGATTAGCCGCAGTTTTAACGAAGAAGGGTGAAATCCTTCTCAATTTTGAGTTCGTTGTAACCAGGCATGGAACATCATTTGCATTCATTTTGTGCATTCCTTTACATTCATTTGCCCCTAACTTTTTTCATCAACAGAATTCCGAAAAAATTATGTATGGAACTTTGGTATGTTTTGTTATTAACTACAGCTTTTGTTAAGAACTCAAATCCGTATCTATTATGCATGACGAACCAAAGCAAACAGAATCACCTATTGTTTAGTAACGAGTTCTGCCCGCTCTAATTCGTGATGCATACGAGATACAGATTTGAATTATGATCAAAACATTTGTAGCTAATAACAAAACCTACTAAAGCTCTATGCATCATTTTGCGGAATACTGCTGATGAAAAAAGTTAGAGGCAAATGAATGTAAATGAATGCATGAAATGAATGTAAATGATTTTCCATGCCTGGTTGTAACCACCGTGTGGTTTTGAGTGATCCAACCACAGCACATTCGAATCGAACGTTATACATTTTCGACTAAAAGAGAGATTTAGGGTTCATGTCGACTTGTCGCTGAATCAAAGCCGCATGTCTTGACACTACACACACACACACACACCATTCGTTAGCCATGAACTAGACCTTTCAATATAACGGAGTTGTAGCCAAAAACCCGATCGTACAATGATGGTGCTTACAGCATTGATCTATTGGAGGATATGTTTCAAGAAATACAACACGCAGACGACTGAGTAAAAATCTTTCTAAAAAAAAACTACTGTACCAAGTCCCTCCCTCAGCAGTAAGAATCCTTACTCCATCAGAAAATGATTCGCAGAGACACAGTTTTTTTTTTTTCTGTCAACAAAGTGAAATCTAGCAAGCAGTGTAGGTATTGTATGTATCCAACAACAAATGATAATAATCGTATTTTAGTGGTCTAACGGTAGCGCAAATACATTGAATAGAGTCCAACATGCTTTAGGCTAGCCATTGTTGTAGCAAATTTGGTTCCAAACGAGCTTCAATTGAAAGTATTATTCCAAATCCTTCCAATTTGACACGTAGTTTATACATATATACTTGTTGATTAATTAAATTCTTGAAAGTATTCCAATTGATAGCCAGAATTAGTTTAATAATTCTTTCCGAGTAGTGTTCTAGACCCAGTAAATGATTCTGAAGCTAACCATTATTGTATTACGATTTGCGGCATGTTTCCCCGCAACGGAGAAATAAATAAATTTGGTTGCAAATCCATTGGATACGTTATAATTGACTGTAGCTGCTATATTGTAGAGAGATGATGTAACTTTAACAAAAATATTACAAGAGGCCGATCTCTTTGGTTTAATTTTCAGCTTTAATTTTTTTTAATAATAGGAGAAAACTAGCTAAACCGCCCCTGAGGATTTCAAAGAGATGATCGAATGATTTAAACGGTGCTCATGAGATTAAACCGAACGAAAAGCGAAAACTGGAAGACATATATCAACCACTTTGGGTACGCGCAATTTTGTATTGATTGAATGTGGCATGTACGTTATCAAACATTGATCGGAAAGTATCTGTTATGTGTGGCATCTTCAGTGGCTGAATGAATGTTTACGTTAAATGAACACTATTAAGGTGACGACAAAAAATCATCTCAATTAAAGCAAAACAAAAAAGACATTTCATTTGTTCTTCTGCAATTGGATTTCTAAATGAACGATATTTTAACAACTAAATGATACTCTGTTCAATCGAGGCAAGATAACAATGCATACAAGCAAGTAAAACAATATTAAGCTGTACATATGTTATTTACGATTATTCATTAAGTCTGACATTAAGTAAATGAAATTATATACGCTCATGATATTCTTATACAACAGAAAAAAAACAGAATGTATTAATTTGTTAACAAAATCAATAAAAGGAACGATACAAATGTATGCTGCTGACTAGCATTGAAACAATTATCCGAAATCCTTTTCCTGCTTTTTTAAATAGAATATATTTATTTATTTATACTATACAAGAATAATAGCACAAGTAATCTACTAATGATTTTCAGAGTATATGCTACCGATGTACCTATTAACCTAACTGAAGTAGTTGATGCATAAGTTTTTGAATGTTGTTAAACTTCTTGCTGTCTTGCATTCCCTCGGTAGTTCATTCCATAATCGAATCGAACGATAGCGCATTGATTCACTTAAAAAATGTGTCGAGCATCTTGGAATAATTAAAACACTTGACCTAGAAGATTGTGAGTTAATAAAGAAATTTCGAAGATATATCGGACTTTCGTTTAAAATTTTAAAAGTTTGAATACACATTCTAAGTTTCATGTAGTTGACGAAATCGTAGCCGCGTAATAAATTAGAAAAGTTAGAAATGTGATCGTATTTCCGCAGGTCGTATACGTATCTGGTAACGGCATTAAATACCAAGTTTAATTTCTTTGTATTTGTATTAGAAGTTAAACTAAAGAGAATATCCCCGTACAAAAATAACGGAATGATCAAGGATCTAGCAAGCTGAAGTCTGATATGTTGAGGCGTGGAGTGACGTAACAAAACTAGGGAGTGAAGCGTACAATAAACTTTGCTGCACACATCATTGACTTGAGCATTAAAGTTGAGGTTATATCCTGAATACCAGTTCGTTTTGATCTAAAAATAATAGTTTGTATTTTTGCCCTGTTCAAAGTAAGACCATTAGTTTCACACCATTTTAAGATATTTTCTATATCACTATTTAATAATGATATAGTTTCAGAAATATTATTCAATTTGCCAGAGATGTATAGTTGACAGTCATCTGCATATAAGTGAAATTTACAATTTGATAAAACGTTGGGCATATCATTGATGAACATAGAAAAAAGTAGGGGTCCCACGATGGATCCCTGAGGAACCCCACTCAGAACATGCACGTAATTGGATTGCATGTTATTAAATTCAGCATACTGTGATCGGCCAGCCAAATATGATTCAAGTAAATTCACTGAGGAATTACCAATTTTAAAACAACTAGCGAGTTTATTGCAGAGTTTCCGATGATCAATTGAATCAAAAGCTTTGCTGAAATCTAAGAGCGTCATCACGGTTAACATTTTGTTATCAAAAGCATTTCTTAAATCGTCTTTAATTTTTATAAGAGCTGCAGTTCTTACGATAACCAGATTGTAAAGAACATAGCAGATTATGATTATTAAGATATTCGTTTAGTTGTTTGGATAGAATTGATTCAAACATTTTCGACAGAGCACAAAGTATGCTAATATGTCGATAATCCTTTTCTGTAGTTGGATTGTCAATCTTACCAATAGGAACAATCTTAGCCACTTTCCTTGAACATGGAAATTCTGAAGTGGTTATACAAAAATTAAATAAGTCTGTGATGTAAGGTAGAGTGACACGTAAGGACACTTTCAAAATATTTAGAGGAATGAGATCAGTACCCACAGAATCACATTACTAGTAATACCTCTGAATAAAAAATTAGCAGAAAGTTCATCAACTTGCTCAGTTTCAATAAACGATGATGGGGCAAAATGTGAAACAAAATAATAATTCAATGAATCAGCAGTGACATCGCCACCACCAACATTCATATTTGAACCTTTTAACCCGAGTCGCTTAATATTATTCCAAAGTTTTTTAGCAGGAAGAAATGCACTAAGTTGGGAAGCAAAGTATTCACGTTTAGTGTTTTTAACCGTACGGTTAGTTATGTTGCGTAGCTTAACCAAATTGTGCCATTTTTTAGCATTATTTTTATCGCGTTTCCAACAGTCATATGCTTCTGAACGGTTTTTGAACATCCTGTGGACATGTTGGTTAAGCCATGGAGTTGAAGGGTCTCTTACCAGTTTTCTGGTTAAAGGCGCATAACGGTTTATGTGTGACAATAGTGCATTATTCAGGTAATTCAATTTGTCATTTACATCACAATAAGAATAGATAGCATCCATATTTAATTCTTGTAAACCCCGTATAAAGGAATCTTGGTTAATGTTATTGTAATCGCGATGGAAATAGGTTTCGGGTGTAGTTTTTGAGTTTTTTAATTTATAGTCAATACATATTAAATCCTGGTCACTAATACCGCCAACAGAAGACTGGTAGGTATTATTCACATTGGATGTACAATTTCCTGAAATAAAATCAATTAGAGACGGGGTGCTTCCGGGTTGATGGCGTGTGGGTGACTGATTCACTATTTTAAAAGAGAGAGTATTCAGTTGGTCTAACATACTAAGACATTTGGAAGAATTTACATCTAAAATATTTACGTTAAAATCACCCATTAGCACAACATTAGGCTCAGTAGCCAGTGTTTCTGAGATGAATTCAAAAAGCGTTTTTATTTATTTTTTTTTTAACTCTTTATTTGTTCCAAATTCAAAATAAATTACATTTCATTTTTAACCTAGGTGCTCCAGTTACTACAGTAACTTACCAGCCTTAATTGTTATGATATATATCTAAGTGTTTTTACATTGTTCCTGTCTTGGCAAGTCAGTATTTTAAACAGGTTTTTTTTAACCTGCATGTCAGTATAACAATTGATATCTTAAAACTAAATCTTATCTAAGTATAAAGGTAATTAATCGTTGCAATTGAGGATTGTAACGATTTTTGCCGGAAATTATTAATTATTTTGTTGGACATTTGTGCTAAAGTCTCAACATTCGAAATTCTATGTACTTCGGTTGTACTGTACCAGGGAGGCAACTTCAAAATCATCTTCAGAACTTTGTTCTGAATCCTTTGAAGTGCTTTTTTCCTGGTAAGGCAACAACAAGACCATATTGGCACAGCGTAAAGCATGGCCGGTCTAAAAACTTGTTTAAATATTAGAAGTTTATTCGTCAGGCAAAGTTTGGATTTCCTGTTTATAAGAGGATACAAACATTTTATATATTTATTACATTTGGCTTGAATGCCCTCAATGTGATCTTTAAAAGTTAATTTTTGGTCAAGTATTAATCCAAGATATTTCACTTGGTTTGACCAGGAAATTGGAACTCCGTTCATAGTGACTATGTGACTACTACTAGGTTTCAAAAACGAAGCTCTAGGCTTATGTGGAAACATTATAAGTTGAGTTTTGGAAGCGTTGGGAGAAATCTTCCATTTTTGTAAATAAGAAGACTAAACTTTTCTGCAGTCTGATGCAAATAACACGAAGACTTCTTCCTTTTGCGGAAATGCCTGTGTCATCAGCGAACAAAGATTTGTGGCAACCCTGAGGCAAATCAGGGAGGTCCGAAGTGAAAATGTTATACAATATAGGCCCAAGAATGCTACCCTGAGGAACTCCTGCTCTAACAGGTAGTCGATCAGATTTGGAATTTTGATAATTTACCTGCAGAGTTCTGTCAGTTAAATAATTTTGAACTAATTTCATAATGTAAAGTGGAAAATTAAACTTTTTCAATTTAGCAATCAAACCTTCATGCCAAACACTGTCGAATGCTTTTTCTATGTCTAGAAGAGCAACTCCAGTTGAGTGGCCTTCAGATTTGTTTGAACGAATTAAATTGGTAACTCTCAAGAGTTGATGAGTAGTTAAATGCCCACGGCGAAATCCAAACTGCTCAACTGCAAAAATTGAGTTCGTATTGATGTGAAGCATCATTCTATTCAAAATTATCTTTTCAAAAAGTTTACTTATTGAAGAAAGCAAACTTATTGGACGGTAGCTAGAAGCTTCAGCTGGATTTTTATCCGGCTTCAAAATTGGAACAACTTTTGCATTTTTCCATTCATCAGGAAAGTATGCCAAATGGAAACATCTGTTAAATAATTTTACCAAGAAAGACAAGGTACTCTCTGGGAGTTTTTTGATGAGGATATAGAAAATTCCATCATCACCTGGAGCTTTCATATTTTGAAACTTTTTAGTTATAGACCTTACTTCGTCCAAATCAGTCCCCCAGGAATCATCAAAAATATTTTCCCGAGAGAAAATATTCAGAAAATCCCGAGCAACCTGATTCTCAATAGGACTAGTAAGAACCAAACAGAAATTATGGGAACTCTCGAATTGCTTAGCAAGTTTCTGAGCTTTTTCCAAATTTGTGATCAAAATTTTACCACCTTCTTTAAGCGCTGGAATTGGCTTTTGAGGTTTTTTCAAAAATTTTGTGAGTTTCCAAAAGGGTTTGGAACTCGGGTCTAATTTAGAAACATTATTTTCAAAAGTTTTGTTCCTCAGGGCAGAGAATCGTTTTTTAATTTGTTTTTGCAAATCCCGCCAGATAACTTTCATGGCAGGATCGCGTGTTCTTTGATATTGTCTCCTACGGACATTTTTAAGACGGATCAATAGCTGAAGATCGTCGTCTATTATAATTGAATCGAATTTAACCTCGCATTTTGGTACTGAGGCAGCTCTTGCTTCAACTATAGAAGTAGTCAGAGATTCAAGAGCATAATTAATTTCATCTTTGGTTTGCAAAGGAATGTTTGGATCGAATGTTCGATATTGCTCCCAATCAGCCCTATGGTAATTGAAAGTAGAGCTGTTGGGATTAGAAATTATTTCTTGAGATATTTCAAAAGTTACTGGAAGGTGATCAGAACCGAAGTCAGCATGGGTAACCAATTGGCTACAAAGTTGACATGAATCAGTTAAGACCACATCAATAGTTGAGGGATTTCTTGCAGAAGAAAAGCATGTTGGGCTGTTTGGATATTAATTAGTGTAATAACCTGCAGAACAATCATCAAACAGAATATTACCATTGGAATTGCTTTGAGCATTATTCCATGAGCGGTGTTTTGCATTAAAATCACCAATAATGAAGAATTTAGACCTATGACGGGTAAGTTTCTGGAGGTCACCCTTGAGAAAATTCTTTTGCTGGCCTACGCACTGGAATGGCAAATAGGCAGCTATAAACGTAAGTT